ACGTTCTTACACGCTCTCTGTTCCTTGAACCATAATTTATTGTGTGCAGGCAGAAAGACCAGCCATCGTTAAGTGTGCAAACAACGAATGGTCCGGCCGGCGACCGGTCCGACATCCTACGCGCACGCTGTAGCGTCGGTAGTGAAACATTTTTTTAACTGGAGAGGTGGAAAATATTTTTACAGTATTATTATTATTCTATCCGTTGTTCATTAAAGATTTAATTTAGCAAATATTTAGTTAAGATGATCATATATATCTGTTTCAAAAGTCTGTATCGTAATTGTAATATCCCATATTCTGACTTTAATTCTGTAAGAGCGCTCCTTCATCTCATGGGATGGAACGCTTGAAGCAGGCTGAACAATTACATTAAAAATATACATGCAGATCTACATCACTGTCGATGTCCAGAGGAGGGTGGGGTGGGAATAGCGGGTCATGAGCAGCTATTCTCACCAGGTGACCTAATTTAAATCAAACGATGTGTACATACACATCGTCAGGAGGTGCCAAATCATAAGCAGGCACAGGTTACCATGGTTCTCCATTCATTTCTCCTCTCAGACGCTCTAAATATATTATTATGGGGGCTCTCGTGGTCTAGAGGTTATATTGTTTACGCCTCATTCAATAGGTCGCCTGACAGTGACGGAAAATTTCTTCTCTAAAATGTTCTTCTTTCACCTTCGTTCCTGCTCTCTATTCATGTTCTGTCGTCTGCTTTTGTCTCCACTTTCTGTCCTCTTTCCCCTTCTCCCCTTTGTCCCCTCCTCGCTGTGCTCCTGACGCTTTCTGCAGCCTTTTTACCTCTACTGCTTGGCTCCTTCTTACTGCTGTCTTTCAACCACATCCCTCTTCTTATGGTAGGTAACATCTGACATCCAGCCCTTTTGGAAAAGGGCGAAAAATCTCAAAGGTCCCGAGCGCAAGTTGCGCGCGATAAAGATCCCTTGTTGGTCCAAAAATCGATAAGAGTTGGCTTCGGCGCAACAATGCAAAAATCAAAATTCTTACCAAATTGAAAATGTTTAATGTGCCCCTATGGGCTCACATGACCTTATGCAGTTGCGAGCGTCGTAAACCCCTTTTCCAAAATACAACCCCCCAATTTTTTTTACTTTTTTTGGTTGTTTGTTGTTTGTTGTTGATTTGTTGGGTTTTTACGTCACCCGTCGGTTCAGGTTTTTCCAAATAATTTTCTCTTGAGTTTACCCCTGCCTCGTTTAACTGCTTTTTTTTTTTTAGCTAGACCAAGATGTGCAAACTCATTTCGTCGGTTCATGTGTCCTAGAAATTGCATGTGTCGCTTCCTAATTATTATTGTTCTTATTAGTGAATGGCCCACGTTGGCTGCGTTCAGTGTAATGTAGCGGATATCGAAACAAAAAGAAAGCTATGAAGTAATGTTGAATCTCTAATTATAAAAAATGAATATAGATCTACATAGCAAGAACTCTCCATCAATAGGACCAAGAACTACAATTCCTTCTCAAATGGTCTGTTGTAAAACAACTTTAACTCGGCTTGCCCCAAAACAGACAACTCTTTTTTTCTGACGCGCGCACAGTATTGACCTTGGCTGGCAGGGTCGAATCGGGCTCGTCAACAATACATAAATAATTCTGATTGCTTCGATGGTGACGTGGAAACGCCTGAGACAAATTGACCTTTTGGTCGTGCTTCACTGTCTTATGCTTGCTGTTTATCCCCGTGTTCAGATCGGCGGACGTCACGGCGCGACTCCCGTGAGATATTTATTGCGTTAATGGAACGTGGTAAACGAGGTCGATGACCGGTGATCATAGGTGTGAGCGCACATCGAGTGCGTGCGTGTGTGTGTGTGTGTGTGTGTGTGTGTGTGTGTGTGTGTGTGTGTGTGTGTCACGGCTTACTGAAATTATCAGGCCTCCTCAGCGTGACCGTAGTCTGAAAATGTGGAGGCAAGTTTAAAAAGAGGTCACAGTAGCCTGCGCGAGACAATAGGATGGCAGCGCAATAAGATCACCGAAAGGGAAATCAATTTAGATTGCTTATTATACAACTAATATTATCTTTATTGGTGGATTTATGATAACTAGATTTCTAGATCTAGACTCTAGTTCATGACTCATTTCTCGTTCTAGGCGCGGTAAAAGAGTTTCACTTCCCATTGGCAATTGGCACAGAAAATAATGAGAGAAAGAAGAAGAATAAAGATAGCATTTTATAGCACATATCATGAAAAACCCAATCCATACTCTAGATCTATGCGCTAAAAAAAATACTCATTCATTATGCAAGCATGGAATAATTTAGGTCTAACAATAGAAACATTGCCAAGTTTGGGTAACAAACACTTACATGTAAACATGTATACACACATAGAGACATAGATAGACACATGCGCTCACAAACATAACAGTGTAAATATTATGAAAAAGGTTTAACTTACATTGTTTATAAAGACAGCTTCAGGACTTTCTGTTTAGGTTCTTTCTCAGAGGGTGGATTGGATATCTTACAGAAATTGTTTAGCAAAATATTGCTCATGACAAAGCACTTGTGTTGTCTCATCTCAAAACCATAATACTGTGAGGTGTCCATTAATATTTCATTCAAAGAGTTTCTGCATAGGCCTACCTTGTCACGCACTGACTGAAAGGCTATGTAGCAAAAGATGCTCCACTGACATGCTGAGTCCCCAGCTTGAACTAAGCCTCCTCTACTCAAAGAAGATGTAAACTCCCCATACTTTTAAAAGTAACAAAAACTATCCTCCTTTAGGTTTTTGTCTTTTCTTATGACATAGCCAGCAATGTAGACTAGACTGCACTTGACTTCTGTTTTGACTGAATTCTCCATTTCTGGCAATGGTTCAATCAGTTCACAGACTTCTTGAGTCCATTGAAATACACATTTTTCACAAAAATGACCCGATTCAGAATGTAAACCAGATACATCTAAATTAAGTCTTAACAAAAGTTTTGTTTTCATTAAGTTCAATATTTCTAAAATTTGCTAAGCATTTATGAAATCTGTTCCACCATTACCTTGTCTAAGTTTTCCAAATGATTTTTCCAATGGATCAGTTGTGAATTTTCCAAGCAGTACATATCGATTCGTTGGCGAAAGGTATTTTGCCATTTCAACAACACCCAAGCACGTATGCTGTATAGCAGTGGCTGTGTCAGCTGTCAGCATTTTTTCCCTTTTTCCATGTGAGCCCTTTATACTTGCAGTACAATTAGCAACTACTGTTAAAATATGTAGTTGGCTATCATCAGGGGACACAATTGCTTCACGGAATATTCTTGTAACTGGTCACTTTCAACTGATCTGACTGAATAACTAGCTCTAGATCTAATCTAGGTCTACATGTTGTTTTTGCTAAGGGCACAGTTGTTGGAATTAAACTTTTGGGCAAATTAGAAAATAGCGACGGAGGATTTTTTGGTCTTAATCTTCCTTTGACAGAAATAGTTTCAAATCCATATGGAAAATGTTTAATACAAACAACAGTATTTGCGGTATCGGGTATATTGTTGCTTGGGGTTGCTTTCATCCAACATTGTCTCTCTCATCTTTATCTTTAAGTATATCTTCTAGATTCTAGATCTAGGTCTAGTCAAGGCCTGAAAACGGTAACCTTGTCAGTAGAGTCATAATTTGACCTGCACCCAGTAACGCAACATTTTCTGCCCATCTTCAACAAGTCTATACAATGCATTCCATTAGAAAGCACTGAAATTGATAATCCAAATGAAATACTAGGCCTATCCTCATGTCACACGTTTCACATCACAAGGTAAGGCGGCTGACATTTTGAAAACTTTGTTTACTTCCGTCGCTGTCTTTCTCACCTCCCCTGACCTATTAAATTTCAGAGAAAAAAATTCAAGTTAAAAAAAAACCATAATTGTAAATAAAATGAAGAACATTTTCATAAATGAAAAAATGTAAAGTAAACATTGAAAGCTAATTGGTATTAAAGGAAGGATATTTCTTTA